GCCGTATTAGAGATTCATGGTAGGAGCAAGAATGAGTCTACCTCCTGCACACATAAAGGGAAAGTCGTCCTCATCTTCTATACCCCCATTGACTATTACCTCTATATCTGATGATTTTCTATATAATATTATGGAAAATTATGGTATAAAGGAACCTTTCAGTCAAGAGATGCTCCATAATACACACACATACATACATCTTTTGGACAGGGCACCTCACCCTATTTTCTGCTTAAAAAAGCCTGATTTTATTGCATTCTTAACTTTTAAAACTCATCAATATAGGTTCCTAACATTTACCTCATTATTCAAGTTTGGTGCTTCTTTTTTTCCATTAACTTTGATAACATGATAGGACTTTTTAGTAACCTTGTTAGCGGACCCCCAAAACCCCCCCTCCACCCTCGCGTTTCGAAATCAAGGAAAAAATAAGAAATGACAAAACAGTCCTACCACATCAGTAGAAATTAGCGGATAAAACAAACAAAGACAAACTTGATAATGAGGTATACCTTAGGGACTTCTATTAATTAGCTTAAAACGTTAAGGACCAAAATGAATACCAGGCTAAGACATTAGGATCATATGAAAGTTTTATCTTTATTTTATTTAGAATGGGTCAGTTTTTAGAGCTCATGGGTAGACCTAGCACTAATTATGTTATATTGTTGTAGGCAATTTATGTAATTTGATTTATGTTGTAGAAGATCAAAATAAGGCAACAACTTTGGTACTCTTAAAAAAATTAAAATACTTAATTTGTGCTCTCTAACTTATTGACCCTCACAAAGAACCGAGTACTGAACCTAGTTTTGTATTTATCTGCACTTTCAATGATAATAACAAACTTAACTTTAACTAGTTCATCTTCTTCCTCTTGATTCGTTTGTTTGATTTGAGAATTTTTTAATTAGGTGGTAATTGGAGAGAGTTCATTTATCTCAATCCTTACCGCTCATTCCATGTTTAAGGGATGAAATCATTTCATGTAGGATTTGCATTATTGTAATGGCGGATTTCATAATAGTGTTTTTAATTAAAAATGACGAGTTTTCAAGACACGGGCATTTGGGGGGGGGGGGGGGGGGCACTAATGTAGCATCAAAAATCCCGTTCTATCGGCGCTTAAAAATTGGATTGAATAGTAATGACTGGGATAATTGTGCACTTAATTACAAAGGATCTGAATCCCTAATCCCTTAAAATTGGAATGAGTAGTAAATATTGATATTATTAGATTCTCTCCAATTGCTATCTAATTAGAGAGCATCCGGACCCAAAAGACCAAAGTCTCTACGGCTTAGCCATTGGCATTTCGGAGCTACAAAGTAGTAAGAAACTCACATAAGTATTAGTCCCGAAATATTGTCTTGTATTATTTTAGAATTTGAACACTACATTCAATTTAGGTTTATTACATTGCAAATGTTAAAAAAAAGATAAAAAATGAATTTTGCACAAAATTAAGAGTAATGATAATTAGACCACCCTTTCCAAACTACCTTCAAATCACTACACCCAAAAATAAATTTGATGGCTCATCAATTTTGATGTCAATTCAAATAGAAGGACCCCATATTTTCGTGTATAATAGCAATAGAAGTATTTCAGAGAGTGTATTTTTTGTTAGAATTATCTCAAAAGTAAATATATATCATACTCCCTTTAAAAGTACGAGTTATGAAAAAGTTTTTTATGGTTAATATTACCCTTCACTATTTTAAATATTTTATTTAAATCTTAATCTATCCTAATCATAATTATATCTTATCCTAATCCCATGTGAACTGCCTACAACTTAAAAATCTAAAAAATAAGATTAATAAAATATATGAAACAAGTCGACTATATTAGTTTGTTAAGGTAAAGGACTAATATGCTATAATATATGAAGTATTATAAAAATTCCAAAAAAGTTTTTAAAAATTGTACAAAATACCCTCAAAAGTTTAAAATTACACAAAACATTCTAACATTTCAAAACTTAAAGCAACAAATATGAAATTTAAAAATTAATAGCAGTCTCCAAAGAATCTAAAATTTATGATTAACACCCTCAACATTTTAAAAATTATAGAAAACATATCTAAAGTTTAAATAATAAAAAGCACCCTTAATTTCTAAAATTTTAAAATTTACCGAACAACAAAGATGAAATCAAGGGTTTAACATCAGGACACCTAAAAATTTAAAATTTATAAAAAATAACCTCAAATTTATAAAGATTTCAAAAAAACTCCTTCAAAAGTTAAAAATCACAAAAAATCATGAAGTTTCAAAACTTATAACCAGTACATATCAAATATAGAAATTATCAGTGGACCATTAAATTTTTAAATTTTATAAAAAACAATCTAAATTTTCAATAATTACACAAATACACCCTCAAATTTTTAGAGTCGTAAGAAATATCCTAACATTCGAAAACTTACCACCAACACATGAAATATGGAAATTACAAGTACCCAATTTAAAATTCAAAGTTTTTAAAAAACACTCTCAGGTTTTAAAAGTTACAAAACACACCCTAAAAAATTTAAAATCACAAAAAAGGACTACATTTCAAATCTTAGCAAATAGAAAAGTTGTTATTTGATATTCTTTTATTAAGATATATAAATTTAACTTCCAATTTAAGATTCACTATTCTTTTTTAGCATCTAAAAGTGATCTAATTTTATCGAAAAAGATAAAGATGGATATCGGCTCAATAAAAATGAAACAGAAGGAATGAAAGACATTGTTTTCTGAATATTTTATAGAATATATTTTTTGAGTAAATTAGGAATCTTTAGAAGGGATTTTCATGAACTTTTTTTAAATATTTTTATATGCTTATATAAATGCTTTCATCATATAAAAGTATGCTAGCGTTAGCATTAATCTTTAGTCGGTTTTTTTTTAAAGTCTATCGAGGATTAGGAACAAACTCCATAATCTCTTTTGTATTATTTTAGCTCACTTTTAATCAATCGTCTTATTTTATTAGCTTTAATTATTCATCTTCCTTTTATAATGTTATTTTTCAAGTGTTTTTCACTTTTACAACGCTATACTTTCTGAGGTCATGCTTAGTTTCATGTCTATCCAAATAACATGACAATTCAAATTGGCTTCGAATTATATTTGTTTCCTATCAATTCAATTATTAACATAAAAAGTTAAATTGAGTGTAGCTCATTTAAATGAACATTAA